TTATTTTGTAAGAAACACTTATTATTTAACATAAAATACTTGATATAAATAGCAATTGATAACTTTGAGCAATCATGTTAACAAATATTTTGTTTAAAGAATATTTGATTTAAATAAACCGAATAGATTTATGTTAAATAATAAGTGTTTCGTGCAAAGTAATTATTTCAAGAAATGTAAGTAATTCACATAAAATAAATATTGTAGAAATATTCGAGATAGATACCAATATATTGCTTAAAATCTACGTCTTGTAGTTTGTATTGTTTAGATATTGTATAATTTATTACCTATTTCATAACGACCTATCACAAAAAATTTTAATAAATAAAGTTACATGCATGCAATAATAATAAAAATAAATTATATATATATATATTTAAAATTAGCTATCAAGCTTGTTACATGCTTGTAATTTGGTCAGTATAGACAATCAGATATTATTTACTTAAAATTTGGGTTGATAGTAGCTCGAATACACCAGTAAAAAATAAATAAATAAATAACAAGTAATGGTAGTCATTTTAAATTCAACGTTCCCGCTTGTTAAATCCTCAATAACGTCTGGGGTGATAGGTTGGGGCAAGACCTGAAAAGTTTTTTTAGAAGTTCAAACCTTTGTTAAAAATAGAGCCTATCTGGTTTTTCGGGCGATTTTGGGCGATTTGCGAAATGGATCAAAATTGCAATTGCTTGAAACGCAGTGCATATATTTAAAAATCGATATTTTAGATATCATAGGATTCAATAGAAGTACCTAATTCTGTCCAGTACAACCGTTAGGGTTGAACAAAAAATGCCGGCAAACCAGCTCTAAATATAAAAAAAATATGGTTTTCATTTCTTCTCCTATTACCTCACATCAGGGCATTATTAATGGAATAATTAAGTTAAAAATCATTTGTTTTCATGTATCACTATAATTATTGTCCACGTGACATACCGTTAGGTTTGAACAAAAAATGCCGGCAAACCAGCTCTAAATATAAAAAAAATAGTTTCCATTTCTTCTCTTGTTATCTCACTTCAGGCCATTATTAATGCGATAATCAAGTTAAAAATTACTGGACAAGAAGGGGGAACGATATTAGTTTGTCACTAATTTCCAAATTGTAACTTTTGTTTTATTTCCCAAACCGTATGTCCAACCTTTGCATTAGCTCGCCCCAGTACTTTAGTGCGCCGGCCCAAAACTTTATCTAAGTGGCAGATAAGGGCAGGTACCAAGCAAAACCCTGAGCCCTGGAGGCAAGGCCCAAAAATCGAGCTCACATCAGGCGAAGGCGAAAATAAAAATTTCAGTTCTCAGTGGATTTTGTACAGCAAAATTTGTTGCCAAAAAGTTTAGAGACAACTGCTGTAGTCTAACAGTCAACCTGTGTCGGCAATTACTAAAATTTTTCCATGCTTGACTAATTCTACTAATTATTATATTGATGGAATACATTTCAATTTTATGGAATAGATATCAATTTAAATATCAGCACTTACCCGCAGAAACATAGTTACTTGAGTAATACGCATAATATAAAACACTTTTGAGAAATAATGCATAGATGATATATTATGATACAGGTAATAAACTTATTAACGATGTACTCTTTTATGTATGCGTTTTATTCCCACCTTCTCCTTCCATTTGAATTCTAGTCGGTCCACTGTGATGGACAGCGAATAAACAGCGAAAGGCGGTATCAGCATCAACCTTTCGTGTTCGCCAACCCTTTTATTATTTTTTAGGTTATTATTAGAACATATACCAAACCAGACAGCCTTATGTCTCAAAATGTAGCAAAGAAAAACCCGTCAACGTTTCCACAATTCAGGCATCATCAGGACAGAAAAGAACAGCTAATCCAACATCACTCCATGAAATTTAATCGCATATTCAATCTTTTAGCAATTGTTTTTAATTAACTAGTTATTATTATTTCAGTTACTTGGATCCATACCTCGCCAGTTATAGAGAACTCGATGGCTGGCTCTCGAAAAGATACGCTACTTCCTATCGAAGCACAAACCCTATTTCTGGAAATAATGGAAAAGCATAAAAAATGTAATATCATTTATACTGATGCTTCAAAAGTAAACGACGAAATAGGATGTGCTATTGTCAACTCTCAAATAGAAAAGTACTTCAAACTTCCGGAGATCTGCTCTGTATTTAGTGGAGAGATGATCGCTATTAGAGAAGCTTTGACTTACATTGATTCAACGGAGAGTAACAAATGGGTCGTGGTAACGGATTCAAAGAGCGCAATCCTGGCCATTGAAAAGAGAACACCAACAACTACACTGGCAAGATCTATTAAAAATATCTGGTGGAAACTGATAGAAAAGGGAAAGGAAATAGTATTCATGTGGGTTCCTTCGCACTGCGGAATTGTCGGAAATGAACAGGCAGACAAAGCAGCAAATATGGCGAGAAGGCTAGATAGAAATCCAACAGTTATAATCAAAGAAATCCAAATAGAAGATTTCATACATCATATAAAAAAAAAAATTGCGGGTAATGTGGTAGAACGTATGGCAACAAATAGAAATCAAATTAAAAGGAATAAAAAGCCACTGTTCCAAATGGAAAACTAGCAACCGACCCTCTAGAAAAGAAGAGACAGTCCTGTACCGTTTACGAATTGGGCATTGTGAATTTTCACATGCCTACTTACTAAGAGGACTAGACCCACCGACCTGCGAGAGCTGTAAGGTGCAAAGAACTGTCCAACACATCATTCAAGATTGCCCAGTATTTGAGAATATGAGGAAAAATCTCGATATGGCTCAGAGCCTAAAAGAAAACCTCAGCGACAACGAAAACGCCGTGGAAAAAACCTTACAGTTTTTAAAAAAAATAAAGTTCTACAATAGAATATAAATAGGAAGTGTTGCCAATGACCGTGCAGGGAAGAGGCAACAATAAAAAACAAATAAATAAATAAATATTTCAGTTACTTGTAATGAATTGCATTTATAGTTGTACATTATTACTTTGTGGAAATCATTACAATCATTCTCTGAAAAGTCGTAATTATTTGGTAATTAAAGGTAAAATATAATGAATAAAATCGATGTATCATACCAACCAACCAAATTTACCCGAAATATTTGTGACTACAATTAATAACAAAGAAGTAAGAATATCTAAATAATTGGTGGGATGGACGAAGGGGCGGTATTTCACGAAGAACATGGAATAGGGTTTTTGCTTTGCAGTTTGATAGAATTAATTATTTAGTTACAATAACGGAGACATCATTATTTCAAATTAAATCCAAGATTTATGTATTGATAAATATTTAACTGTAAGATCATGTTGGTTTGTTCTTCGCAGATCCAATTTAACGTCTCATTCTCCGCTCATGATCCTGAGGAACCTCTTTAATTTTATTTTAGCCCACTCCTACCTTTTCGATTTGAACTAGTGTGGACTGGGATCTAGGCACTAGAGATGGGAAATTCGATTCATTAAGTGAATCGATTCACAACTATTCAATCATTGCAATGAGTCGATTCTAATGGACGATTCTTCGATTGATTCTTTTCATCTCCTTTTTTTTTTACATTAAAAAATAAATTTTTATTGAAAAAAAAAACAAACATTCTCAAACTGATAGTTATTGAGGTAAAAACCTTTTTTTTAAGTTATTGAAATTAAAAGTTTGAAATATATACAAATAAAAAGTCATGAATCTTATAAATAGGAAGGAAGTTTAAATTAGACAGAATTTTTTTTTTTAAATTTTACACATTAGATTTTGACCTGTGTATATAAATTGTTAATGAAATGAAATATAATTTTATTATCCTGGGACTGATGACCCTGTAGAACAAATTATAAATAAAAAATGACAGTATGGCCATTCATTAAACTAAATATTAATATAATAATAGGTAATTAAAAATAAAATACAAGAGAGAAGGAAACTGTACATAAGTTAAGTGTCTCGGACTTGTGACAATAAAAAAAAAGAGAAAAAGGTTAACGAAATGAAACGCATGAAGTCGAAATCAATACTGGTTTATTGTTGCTTCTAATCCTCTATATATACAGTTAGATCATGTTTACATCGATACGTTTCGTATTAACGCTAATACTGTGCCGCTCCGTACCTTAACTCATATATATATATAAATATAACAAACACAGCGAAAAAATCAACAAAATACTAATGTAAATATTGATTCGATTCTCGATTCACCAGCCCATTCCTAATAGACACTAGTAAACAGGGGTGCCCCACCCCAAGGTCGATGGCGCAAGATCTTAAACCCCTCCCCCCTCCAAAATATTTTATTGCTCGCCTTTTCATACAAACAGAGCTAGGGAAAGTAGAATTAGAAAGATTGTAGATCATACATAATTACACTTGCTGCGGTCTGTTCCACGTTTTCTTCTTGTCCCTTGTTCTGAAACTTTTCATTCCGAAAGTTTATAATCCCTTTGAAATTTGCCCCCCCCCCTCAACAATTAAAAAAAACCGTCAAAATACGTTCCCCTTAAAAAGTTTGATGGTCTTGCGCCATAAAACCCCCTTGTGGGCACCCCTGTTAGCAAAAGTACTTCCAAGAAAAAATCAAATCCACCTTTGTAAGGCTACTCTTTTAGCCTTGATATCATGCATCCCATAGCAGTTGGATTACTAATATAAAGCGCAAAATGGAAAGGAAATTAAAAAAGTTTCTATAAAATTTATATTAGTAAAATACAGTCAATCTATTATAATAGTAAGTGTCTAATTGTAAGTTCTACTCGGCCTGGATTTAGCTATTTTTCATTTAATAGAGTTATTTAAATTCATTTCAAAAATTGTCTTTTATTTTGGCTTTGAGGGTTGACCACCCCTAGATCTACCAATGTCAGATGTGTAAGTGATGTGAAAATGTAAGCAGTAGCAAATAATTAAGCCGTTAAGTTATGTTTTAGATAAATCTTTCAATTTTTTTTTTAACTTTTTCTATTATTATTTTTTATTTATTTCGTAAAAGTTAAAACAACTCACCTTTCTGCTAAATGAAGCCATCATCAGGAATTCGTTATGTGGAAGAATATTTTACTCAACCACGCTCTGGCAGAGTATGAACCTAAAAAACAACAGAACTTTAAAGATATTTAAAACGTAAAAAAAATAGAGTTTACATGTTGTGTAAAGTCCATATTTGTCAGGACGCAATAAGAATGATATAAGATGAAATATTTTGTGCATCAAATGGGTTCTGGGACTAGATGTATGGGCAACCTGTCAATCAACTTAAATTTTTATTGTTAGACAAACTAAACTAAATGTGAGGAATAGTAAGTTCATAACCGTACATATTGGTATGGGAGGCGAGTGAATGTTGGTTAAACTGAGAATAACAAAAAGAGCTCGTCAAGGATGCAGAGACCTCTGACCCGATGAAGCTCACTTTCACTATTCTCTGATTCAGCCTCCCGATCAAGAGGACACTCTTAGTATACCATGTGGTCACAGTTACACTTATTAAATCATATATATATATATATATATATATATATATATATATATATATATATATCATAAATCCTGGCTGACAAAAAGAAAAATTCTCTTATGTCAAGATGATATTGACTAATAAAATTTTTACCGATATTTTTTGCAGAAGTGGTTATAACAGGAGTAACAGAACCGTTTGAAAATGGCCAAAAAGCTGAAACGTTGATGTGACCAAATAAACGTTTTTTAATTTTTATGTGTTATGTTTTTTGGAATATAAAAGAGTTAAAAAAATTATCTCGGAACAGTGCAAGCTTAGGAGGAATTAAAAAAAGTATAGTCCATAAACTATTAAACGTTCAGTGTTCTTTTGCTTTCCCATCGTCCCTTGGTTTGGAACCTTTCATTCCGAAAATTCCAAATGTTCCCTCTCAAAAATAAAAAAAACAACGTAAAAACGTGTTCCTCCTCAAAAATTTCGAAGGCGCGAATTGCGCCATGAAAATCCCTTCAGGGCACCGCTGTTTGTCATATTTTTGAAGTTGTTTTTGTCCTCCTAGATCAGAGATCTGTTCGACTATGAGACGTAGGGGATCCAAGAAAACCATGGTTCAGTGGTCTATAAATTAAAATAACTAAAACTTCAAGTTTTGTGATAAATCTAACAAAAACAAACAAATAATTAAGAAACAACAATAAGGTTCTCGAATAGGAGAAGACAATGAGTGTACGATTAGTGAAGAGACTGAGGTTGAATTGGGCACCTAAAGGCACAGAGGCATTGTATTATAATTACTACTGTTCCCGATGACCGAAACATCGCCGCGAAACGGACGAGAAATTCTAATGAGAGCCTTAAGTAACAGTTACATGAGCTGCTAGCGATCTGCTACTTCCCATCTTCCCTCATGAATTATTGAGTGTTGCGATGGGACGTTTTAAGCCATTATCCCCTCCTCTACGCTCCCCATTCATGATCCACTTAATTCAACTCTCAAAAGCAATAGTGATTAGGGCATGGATAATTAATATTGTGAGTTTGGATGGTGACATATCAACTCAACAGCGAGTTTAAACAAGTTCATCAACTACTCGTTTATAAATTATCATGTTAATGGAACATTTCAACAGTATTACTACTACTGTCTTAATTCATGTAATACAACACTAATACCACCTCTAGTCCTCCTATATCCATGACGGATTTTCTGTAACAAACAAAATAAATAAATAAAACCTGTATTTAGATAGAATTGTACTTTACATAGTTTTAAAACCATTACGATAGATTATATGTACACTGACAAGGGATGGGATATCGAAGACCCCATATCGATATTATAAACATTTTTGAAATATGAAAATCAATATAAATTTATATTACAGTTTAATTTATACTATTATATGGGAAACAATACTATAAGAATAATACTTTTTAGAAATATTTTTTCATATGACATGGATATATTTTACCATTTTTGAGGAGTGGAGTATTCTCCCCTTATACCCGCCTCTGTCTTTGTGTATAGCATATTTGAATCGGTTATTTCAGAAACGCCTTATCGTATTTTCATAATTTTTAGAAAAAACTTCATTATACCTAGTCATGCCATAAATACTGTTAAAAAAGTTGAACTTTTTTTACATCCTTGGGTATTCTTTAGATAATCCTTACCTCAATCAGGTTATTTGCTTTACATGTTAGGATAATAATCCCAATTAATTTGTATTTTTCTTTTGCTCAGTTAACATAGAGTGGGGTGATAAAGAAAACCGAATAGCTGTGATCATCTTACACAAAGTTGGAAAATGTAGGATTATGAACACTTTGAAACCTTTGGCTATCAGCCGTACAATAAATAGATACAATGAGACCATATCTGTATGTGACAGACCTCGACCGGGCCGTTTCCGCGCAGTTAAAACGGAAAATGTAGTGAGAGCAATGGCAGCTCGAATTAGAAGAAATTCTATTCGAAAAGAAACAAATCATGTATCTAGAAATGGGACTCTCAGCCAGATCAATGACTCACATAATAACAAGTGACCTTAGAATGGGTGCATTTCGAAGAATGACAGGACAAAGGCTAGTCACTTCCATAAAAAAAATATAGTTGTATAGATACATGGTCTTCATCGAAACATTTTATTTAGCGATGAGAAAATTTTTACAATTGAAGAAAAATTTAATCCCCAAAATGTGTACGCGCACCACTTTAACGAAGCCCAGGAAGTCATTGGAAGAGTGGAAATAGGTCATCACCCTTCCTCAGTGATAGTTTGGTGGGGAGTTTGCTTTGATAGCACCACAAAGCTCCATTTTTGTGAAAAAGCCGCTAAAAACTATTAGGACGATATTTTTGAACATGTTGTCAAGTCTCTAAATGATACTCTGTTTGCTGGATGACATTAGGTTTTCCAGCAGGATTCCGCTCCAGCTCACAAGGCCAGGTCAACTCAGCAGTGGCTGCAAAAGAACATTCCAGAGTTCATCTCTGCCTCGGATTGGCCGAACTGCAGAGGATGGTATGCCACAGAGCACATCGTAACTTCTCTGATTGAAAGCCTTAAACAATCTCTGGTCCGAGCTGTTGGGCGCTTTCCTCAAGAAATGCTGTGTGCTGCTATTGATGACTGGCCACAGAGATTAAATGCCTGCGTCAAGGCAAAAGTGGGACATTTTAAGTAATTTATTTTTTGCTTTACTCTCTATAGATATACATTTTATTATCTAATAAATTTTTTTCAAAAAAACATTTTTTCTGTTGAAATATGCATATATTTCCTTGTAACAATATTTATGACAGGACAAAGTACTAAAAGTTTAGAAGATAGAATCTCGAAAAAAATATACAGTGTAAAAAAAAATAAATTTTACATTATTTACGTCGGTCTTAGTAATGCATATATCATTAGATGATCAGACATTTTTTTTTTAATTTACTGTGGTATCGTTTCTATAAAAAGATACATTTCTGTCTTTTTTGTTATTTTTAATTTGATTATAACTACATAGACATGGTTTAAAAGTAAAGTGTTGATTCTGAAAGAAATAACCTTTATTTCACTTAAAAACGATAAAATGATTTAATAAATCAATTTGTTAAAAAAAAAGTACGAAATTTTTAAAAATTTATTTGATCCGGCTTTTCGATTCTCCGTACCCTCCCTCAATGGAACGTAAAACCTCAACATTTAGAGTGCTGCGATCTGCACTTAGAATCTTGCCTCACCACGAAAATGCATTCTGGAATAACAAAGTTCTAACTACAAAATTTCAATATTCAAAATTATATTAATGATGGGCACTAGCGGATCCAGGATTTAATTTTAGGGGAGGGGGCGGGTCAGCCAGAAAGCTGTTTTTTTTCATAAAAATAACGATAATTACTTTGGAAAAAAAGAAAGAAACTAACTACCTATATGAAATGGCGTTTAAGTGATTCCTAAAGCCCTTTTAAATGTAATTACACGAACAATAATACTTTGAGAGATAATTTTTTTCCATAAAACATGGTTATATTTTCCCCTCCGTAGATCCGCCCGTGATGAAGGGTACAATTAAGTCATCGACGAATACAAAATTAAGTTCACAGCTTTAAGGTATTGTACAAACATAATTTTTAGTCTAAGTAACAAATTAATTAATACTTTATTAATATATTACTAATATTAATACAGTAAATTGTAACTTTGAAGCTCTGTTTCTCGAAGTTATATCAAATGCAGTTACAACCTCTTCAAACCAAGGCATATGCAGATATGTACGGATACATTTGAATTCATAATACATTTTAAAGACTAGTATTTTTTCCATGCGATTGATATACGCCTATATATTTCTTTCTCGGTCCTTTTCTTGAAGGAAATTAACTGGCCAAGGTATATAACATCTTATAGTCTTTACAAAAATAAATAAATAAATAAAACAAAATAAATTTTAAAAAATGAAAAAAGATTAAATTAAACTAGACAAAGAGCTTGTAGAAGTAAGTACATATGAAAACGGCAATAAAAGATCAATAAACCTACTTTATGACAATGACATGGATTAAAAAACATAGAACTGTTAAGGACATGTTTAATGAATTAGGAGTCACGTATTTCATTTTTCATTCACCTATAAGCACTGTATATAATATGCAATAATACAAGAAAAAAAAAAAAAATAATGTCGTCAGTGAAGTGATTCTTCCCCTCAATGAAACAAACAGAGACACAGACAAATCTTTTTTCAGGCCGAGTAATGGCCCTATGCTTCCCCGGCTAGTATCAATCAAATCAAAAATTCAATATTTCTATTTTTTGTTTTTTAAATCTATAGCACTAGGATCCATGAAAAGTCTTGAGTTCAGTATTAGGCAAGAAAGTACTTTTCCTAGAACAAAGATTCTGCTTAAATGTGTGGACAAGGTGTGGGTCGTCTGACACTAGGTCCGATCGCTGATATAAAATAATAAATAACTATAGGAATTTAGCCGAATTTTCTACATATCATGGGTGGTAAATAATTATATGCCAATTTCGTTTAAACCGTTCGGTTGAATACCTATACAATGGTAGCCTAATCTGCGAGAAATATAACAGAACATTTTATATTATGAACGAAAATCCACTCTTTTGAAATTTATTTTTCTTTAACATCAAACTTCACAACAGAAATT